TGGTAGTTTCCAACCATCTTCAATTGGAAAAGTAGGTAGATCTACCAACTATAATTTCGAGTTTTATATAAAATCCTACCCTTAGATGTGATACCTTTTATTCATTTTTTTTGTAAAAAAGTAATCACTAATAGTATTATAGTAAAAAAATTAATATTAACTAAAAAATGGACAATATTCATAAAAAAATCAAAGCATGTTATGGATTGAAGAGATCAATCTAACATAATTTACTCGACAATGGGGGCCGGTTCATGTTCAAAAGTTCATGAGAGTCTTGAAGTTATTAGTCGAAACTCGCAATAAATAAGCCGAGGTTTCTTATTGGATGATGCATATCGATATATTTCAACTGTCAAGAACGCAAAAGCGCGCTGTTTTTAACTTATTGTGTGCATAAAAGAAAATTAAACAATATAAAAATAAAAAAAAATTATAAAATAAGTTTATAAACAAAAAGTAGATTTGAGAAAAATCCTAAAAGTTGCTAGATCTACATACAAGTTGCTAGATTTACCTAAAAAGATGGTAGATCTACCTAAAAGTTGGTAGAGTTGGTAACACTGGTGGTCCCTTCATTGTCGTTATACGCGAAATCCACTGTAGGTATTTTTTTTTTCAATATAATATTTTTGTCATACACCAGGAGTCACGTACTAAGCACTAAGTCGCGTTTCTGAATCTTATTATAAGACTTTTTGTAAATTATACATGAATATAATTTCTGTTCTCAAAAATATTGTATTCTTAAATATGTTTATTGAATTACTTATTGGAAAACCACTAAAAAAAATCTTCCTTTTCTAAAAAGAATGTCTGATTTACATTTGAAATTGTCAGTGTCATGCGCCGTCCGTCAACAGTCAACGCTTATTAGTGAATACTGAATAGCGATGCAACGAGAAAAGCTGCAGCCGGCAGGATAGAACTGCATAAAATTGTGATAGAACTGCAGACAGCGCAACCGCAATATATAATATATCTATTAAGGCCCTATCCCAGCACGAATTGCTGTGTCAGTGTCCCAGGGTGGACTGAGGCGCGCCGGCCCGTACAAGTAGCGGCACGAAACTAGCGCTGGCCGCTGACCGTTATTGCGCAGAAGTAAAAATAAGGTACCTGAGGGGGGCTAGCGGAATGAAGAGCGGGCGCGCGTAGCGTCGATTGGCTCTCCAGTCGCATTCCGTCCCCCGCACCGATACGACGCCCCGCGCACATCCCGTGTACAGTCGCGTCATTAATATTATTGTTACTGTTGTTACGTTTTGTTGTTTTTTGTTACGTTTGAATTTGTTAGTGTTTTGTTGTTTGTTATTTGTTTTTAAGTTTGTTTGTGACTTTAAAGTAAATATGCCTAGAACAAATACTGTTTTGAAAAGACAAGCCAGGAAAATGGTTTATGACGTGAATTGTTTTTTAAAAAGGGAATCTAACGAATTAATTGATTCTTTGCAACAAATCCAAAGTGAGATTGACGAAGCTACAAATACTTTGTTCAGTCATTCGGACAGCAACATTGTAAATTTGAGCCAGATAAAACAAACTGCCGAAATCATTAAGGCAGGAAACATAAAATTTAATAGTATGATCAGCGAATTAGGTAAAATCCAAAAAAGGACAGCAGAGTCAACAAAAACGTCAATTGCAACGGTAAGAAACATCTCCAATCAAGCCAAAAGTTCTGATTTGATCACAGTGTTCAGAACACCTGGCAAAAAACGTTCCAAATCATCAAAGTGGCATATAATGTATTGCGTGCGCGACAGTACACATGCGCAGCATTCAGCAATCCCCTCCACGTATCGGCCAGCGCTAGACTTACGTGAAGATGTTTATACTTAAAAATTAGTTAAGTAAAACATTCAATTAATATTTTTTTCTGAAATGGATTACTTGGCGACCGGCTAGGTCCTTACAGATAAAACAAAATTTCTTCCTTTAAGGTTTAGCGGACAAATATAAAATAATGTTTCACTAGAACCTTGTTTAGTAAAGATGCCAATAAAATTCAAAATTCAAAATTCAAAAATCATTTATTCACGTAGGTAACACAATGTACACTTGTGATTCGTCATTAAAGAAATAAATATTAATGCTTCTAATTTTACATTTACTGCCAGTTCTCAAATCAAGGGCGTAGAACGGAAGAGAAGAACTGGCAATAAACTCTCCGCCACTCTTTTTAATCGCCATGTTTTTTTTTTTTTTTACAACGTTTGTAAGGAGCTGCAACCATTACACCATGTTCCACATGACATTTTAAGTAATTAATAATAATAACATAAATAAAAACAAAGACTTGTCCCGTATCAGCAGGAGGCATGGTGAAATAGGAGCACGCACTTACATTCTCGTGGGAACAACACGCAAACACATAGTCGAAATAATTAACATCGCCGCATACACGAATTCAAGTACGACCAGTCACCACAAGTAGCACCCGTTCACGAGTATGACGCATGGCCAGCCATCGGCCCCCTCGCCATATTTTAGGGAGAGAGACAACCCGACGCATGGACGCCGCCACAAGCAATGACATTTAAGCGAGCATGACGATCCTTGAAATGTGGACTTGGCTACATAAGAAAATAATAATAATACTGAAATAATTGGATACTACATGGATCACGGTTTGTTCCCACTTTACATTAAAACAGTCGTGGATGTTGACGATCGCCCCAGAGTCTGGAAATGCAGCCGAGAGATTCAGTCGTGTTACCTATAATATATACTGGAGCAACTCATATCCAAGCACTAGGATCGTTTAAATATTCATTTATATTATAATAAGCCTTAGCAAGCAGTTTTACTTTAATGTACGATTTAAATTTATTTATTGACAACGCTTGGATCTCACTAGGGATTTTGTTGAAAAACGTATACAATTGCCTTGGAAAGAATTACTCGTTTTATGCAGCCTTCTGGTTGGTGCGCTAATTTTGTCTTTATTACGAGTACTATAATTATGGAAGCTACTATTCTTTTTAAAGATATCTATATTTTTCCGCACATACAAAATATTCTCATAAATGTATTGACTTGCCAGAGTCAAAATATGTAATTCCTTAAATTTGCTTCGGACCGACTCACGTGGGGACAACCCACAGATCGCTCTTATAGCCCGCTTTTGCACTACAAATATCGATTTAATGTCAGCTGCATTACCCCACAAAATAACACCATATGACATAATACTATGAAAATAGCTGAAATAAACAAGCTTTGCTGTGTTCTCATCCGTAAGATCGCGTATCTTTTTTACTGCGAACGCTGCGGAACTTAGCCTATTCGAAAGACCTTCTATGTGTCGGCCCCACTGGAGTTTACTATCTAAAGTAATTCCCAAGAACACCGCATTATCAACAAAGTCTATTTCCTCGTCTTTAATGATTATTTGAGAATGACTACTTTTTACATTTGTAGTTACAAATTTAACACATTTTGTCTTCTTTTGTTTAACTTAAGATTATTTGTATTAAACCAGTGAACTACACTGGAGATGGCACTGTTTACGTTATCAAGTGATGGATTTTGTCGTTTCACTTTAAATAAAAGCGAAGTGTCATCAGCAAACAGTACTATCTCGTGAAGCTCCTTTACAAGAAATGGCAGGTCATTTATATAGACGAGGAATAAGAAGGGACCAAGTATGGAGCCTTGCGGTACTCCCATAGTAACAGAGGATCCCTGTGATATAGCTCCATTTACATATACCTTTTGAATTCTATCGCTCAGGTATGATTCCACAAGATTTAGCGCTTTTTCGCCAATGCCATAGTGTTGAAGTTTCTTGATTAGGATTTTGTGATGGACACAGTCAAAAGCCTTTGATAAGTCGCAAAAAACTCCAATGGCATCATGAGAATTTTCCCAAGCATTTAAAATCTCGGAAATTAATTGAATGCCAGCATCTGCTGTGGAGCGACCTCTTGTAAAACCATACTGCTGGCTATGCATAATTTTATTATTATTAAAATGTATCAATAATTGTTCAAGAATGATTTTTTCAAAGATTTTACTCAAAGCCGGCAGCACAGATATGGGTCTAAAATTTGTGGGGTCCGAAGTGCTGCCCGTTTTGAATAACGGTGTGATTTTACTTATCTTCATCTGGTCTGGAAAGACTCCACAATCTATACATTCATTAAATATTATAGCCAACTCTGAACTGATAGTATTGATTACTGATTGTAAAATGAAAACAGATACACCCCAAAGATCTTTAGTTTTTTTTATTTTTAGCTGTTTAAATGTTTTTATAATGTCATTGCAGCTAATGCGGCTAAATACAAACTTATGATTGCATACAGGAACATTCGTTTTCAATAATAAAAGGGCGGCTGATGGTGAAGAATTTAAAACGCTGGTTGTATTTAAAGGAATGTTAAATAGTTGTACACAACGAAGAAAAATCTGTTGATAAAGGTTTCCTGACGTTTTTTTGTTTACTGTATACTTAATTACTTTAACCGTCACAAATTTGGACCTAGCTAAATTAATCAACAACATAAGATATTTTTTACTGTAGGTACAAACTACAAAGTTGAAATTTAAATGACTTTGACGATGCGATAATTTATAGGTTAAATCCTACGCTTGAAATAGTAATCCCACTGTCTTCCTAAAATCTAATATGAAATCTTGACACGGTCGATTGAGTTGCCTCGGAACTGGTAAGGGGATTCTTTTTAACTTATTTTTGTACTTCAAAACTGACACTGAACTTTTATTTAAAAATTAAGTTAAAGGTGTAGGTACTGAATGTTTAGGTATTTGTTGGAGAATACAATAATTTATACATACGTGATACGAGTCGATTTTGCTGGTCACTCAACCAAAGTGCGATGAGTGATGACGTAAGCTACTATAGACATATACGTAAACCGTTGTGTAAACTGTAAACTACAGGTGTGAACTGCTGTTGTGCGTGTATTTTAAACAACGATAAATGTACAATAAATTTTAAAATTTAACCGAAATTAATAGTTTTATCTATAAAAATGACAAAAACAGTGAAGAAATCAAAATACAATGAACCTTCTGCATTCGGTAAATTGTATTTAATAGCATATAACGGAATCCAAAGTTTAGGGTAAGTAAAACTAACTTATAACCAATAACATTTATTAATTAATTGTATAATTTTATTTGAATGCAATGGATATATTGTTATGCTATTTTTCGATAAAAACTATTTACATTATTCTTTAAAATGAATATATTATACCTTTTTTTAAAGAAAAATACGTTACGAAAATTAGTTGTTATTAATAACAACTAATACACATTAATCAGTCATTTTTATTAGCTATATACAAATATCTATAAATTTATGATAAGATAAATACTGATATCAAAACAAACACATTTGTTATAATAAATGTTTTTTTATGGATTTTTCCATTGATTTAAATTTTAGTATTGTTAGATAATTTTAATAAACAGTTTGAATGAAATTCTTAAAAAAAACGGACTATTATTAAATAAATAAATTGTGGTTACATTTGACAAATTAAATTAAATTCATACATACATTATTCACATACTTAATATACATAAAATTTCAATAGTCATCCTGTTTGTAGGAATTAGCATATTACTAATCAAGTAAATAGTTCTTAAGTCTTGTAATATGTATGAAAATATTTATTAAATGGTCTATAGTATGTTATTAATATATACTTATTTATGTTATAATTTTGATAACTTATAACAGTGTAAACTTTGTAAAGTTGATAGATAGCTGGCATGGAGAGTTCTTGTTATTTGCAAAGAAATATTACATTTTATGGACTAGGCAAAAAACTGGCAAAGTACAGTACTTTTTAACTTCTAGGGAGTTTGATGTTAAATTTAGTTAATACAATATGGTACCATAGAGTTTGTCAATGACCTCTCAAACTGATTTACTCATGGCCAATTCTTTAATTTCATCAGTGAAAAAAGATGTTAAAAGAAGTTAGATTATTTAAAATCCTCATATCATTAACTTCATCAGTTTTTGTTAATGATTTATTTAATTTAAATGCTGATATAATATAATGACTTTACATTCAAATTATTCTCCATACTGATAATACTTTACATTTATTTTTTATGTCTATTTCTGGTAACTTTTATCAATAAAATCAATTAAAACATGCCTTGCAAATAATTTTTTTAATTCTAAATATTGTATAATGATGAAATTAAGTATTGAATTACATTGTAATAAGATATTCATAATTTAATTGTAATCTATAATAGATGGAAATTTAGAAATTTACAATTATTCTGATTGAAGAAAGAAAATTATTTTGATATGATAAATAATTAATGAAATTATTAGCTTGGGTAGGTACACTGAGATATAAATGACATTAGTCATCAATGACATAAGAATAGATTCCACTCTTTGTAAAGTTATAATTACGGTGAAGTTACATATTATAAAAACTAAAAAGTGGGCACAGAAGGCTGATCACTCATCTATGTATAGATTAATAATAGATGGAAAGATGTGTCTGTCTGTAGGTTAATTAAAGATGATCTTTTCAGATGGTCATATTTATTATGGCAGACAATTATTCACTTTTTAAATCGAGGGTCATTAGATACATACTGGAATGAAATAAAATGGACAGTATATATATTTCAAAATGCAGCAGTTTTAGAGGTATGTATGTTAATTTGATAGAAATTTTATCTTTATGACATGGATATTACATTTTGATCAACCGCATTGTTAATGGCTTACCTTTCCGTCATCGGCCTTAAACCTTTAAAAAAGTTATAAAATTATGTAACAGAATAATACGTAACATTAAATAGTTATAAAATATATAAGTAACGATTAATTTTAAAAATGTATAAAATCAAATGTGAATATGTTTTCCTGTAGTTATATTGAATAAAATAGAATCTCTCAACCAACCAGTCGAATCGGTAGTTTAATTTCACCTTGATATTTCAATTCATAATGTTGGAAGACGAGAAAGTATAGTATTAATAACAAATATACTATTTACAAGGAAGTTTGAATATCTGTTTACTACCACCGGACAATATTGTTGCGTCTATTATTGAACATTTTCCCCAAGGTTTAAGCTTATTATATTATATTCGAAAAAAAATTGTTGCTAGCCACTACTAAATCATAAAACCTCGTTACGTAATATCGTTAAGTAATTAATTTTTTATTCGAATATTTTAAGTTTAAAGTACGTTTATAATATCGCTTACATATTGCGTACATTATAATTCTTGACGTATTACGAGAATAGACTATCCTTTTTTCTAGATACTCCACGCAGCAATTGGACTGGTACCGTCAGGTGTATTTATTGTTCTTATGCAAGTATTCTCGAGGGTATTCCTAGTATGTGGATCGCTATTGGTTGCCCATGGGCCGACCATTAGTCCTGGACTTCCATTATGCATCGTCGCCTGGGCGGTCACAGAGATAATACGTTATGCGTATTATGCGCTGAATCTTCTGAAGTGTGTGCCGCAGCCATTGAAGTTCTTACGGTAAGCGTGACAATTAACTTAGTAATACAAATTAGGTAGCTTATTTTTCTAGGCAAATTTGAGAGTATGATAAATAACGTGTGATTGAGAATAAAATAATCGTTTATTTGAAGAAAAGACAAAAATTGTTATTATTAATTCATATTTTCAAGAACCCGCCAAAATGTCCGACCACTTTTTTCAATGCAGACCAGTTTTTTGTCTATGCAAGATGGCCGACAGTTTTTTTGTCTATGCAAGATGGCCGACCAGGTTTTTTGTCTATGCAAGATGGCCGAACAGGTTTTTTGTCTATGCAAATTGGCCGACCAGTTTTTATGATGCCTGTCTATACGTCATTCTTACCCGATGTTACATGTATTATCATAATTTACAGTTAGCTTATGTACATAAAGTCTTGCGGGGCTTGATCAACCCAAGTGTTCTCCAAGAACTCGGTTCTTCTTGCCACCTCGACGATCTTGACTTGCGAACTGGTAGTAAATGTAAATTTAGAATCAATTTAAAATCTTTTCTGTTGACGTTTATAAGTGTACTTGTTTACCTGTATGAATAAAGTTATTTTGAGTTTGAATGTCATACAGTCTGTAATGAAGGATTCGTGTAAATATTCCGCTCCAACGTAAGGCAGTACAAACGATTTCTTTCATCATCCACACTATATGCTGACAATAGTAATTTAATACTCATGTAAGCCTCTTCTGGGTAAAGGCGCACGTTGGTACGTCAGGGAACGACAGGGCGGACACTTTAGCAAAAGGAGCGGCGGAAAAACTAAAAAAATAAATAAAAATAAAATATGTTTATTATGGAACATAGATACAGGTATTACTTATTCCACGTCATTAAATTTGAATCGGTAGACATCACTACTCATCGGCAAAGAAGACAGATGGTGTAGGCCGAGAGAAACAGCCGGCTTTTAAAATAGCAAATCATCAAACAACACTTATTTTAAAACAAATATCGCAAATTAATTAGAAGTCAAAACCTGAATACGCCGCATATATAAAACATCAGATAAGGCAAAGGACTCTAGAAGTATGGGATGAGCGCTACCTGGGGGGTGAAACAGCTGGAACTACAAAATTATTCACCGGAAATGTCAGAACTGCGTAAAAATTAATAAAAAAAAGGGTGCGTGTATGTACGCTCGTAAGAAGTTATACTTCTTTGGCTTTCTTTATTTTTTTTAAATATTAAATAATTAATAATAAATATTTAAAGTTATTTATTTAATATTTAGTATATTACTCAATTATTAATTAATATTATTAATCATTAGTATTATTTATTATTTTATTATATAATTCATTCAATTTAATAACTAGGTATGTTTCATAACCTTTTAACTAAGTAACAATAGGTCTTTGTGAAAAAGCATTGCTAAATTACTTTGAAAAAATAATTAAAACTCCTTTATTTGTTTAAAAGGTACTACAAAGATCATTCAAAATTCTTGGCATAGCTGCTAACTTCACGCATATTCTATTTCTTTTTACTTGTAGATTGTCTTATTCCCATCTCGATCGCGCACGCTCGGCGCCCGGCTGGTTTAAAAAGAATTCGTTAGTGGGTAACTTCATACTGATAATTTTGTGTCACGGTGCGCGCGCATCGTAAAATTTCACTCTCATTAATTTTTCATAACGCGCCTAAAGAAGTATAACTTCAAAAATAGTAATTTAATCAAATATATTTTCAGGTACTCAACATTCCTATTACTGTATCCCGTAGGAATAACTGGCGAACTTTTATGCCTGTATTATACACTGGATGATGTCAAAGAACACAATCTGTTCACAATATCAATGCCGAATTCGTGGAATTTCATATTTAATTATTATTATTTCCTTGTCGTCTATATGTTCTTGTATATTCCTCTGTTCCCTGTGCTGTTTGGTCATATGTTGAAACAAAGGAACAAGATGTTGTTCGACGAGAAGAAATCTAAGTAAAAAATATAAAATACACTCATTTGAATATTTAGGGTTTATTTTAAAACACAGTGTATTTAGGTATATTTTACATAGATTTATATCGTTAGATAGGCCCCGACACCAAAAACTGTGGCATTGTTTTTGAATGTGTGCGTTAACAAAATTCCGACACACGCACACTAACGAGTAGTTAAAAAATCGTGTTTCTGCCATTGTACTTATCTGTTGTAATACTGAGAAAATAGTGTCATCTCTTTTTCTCCTACATTAGTTGCAAACACTACTTTCCCTTTCAGAATCCCTATTAAATGCTTGAAAAAACTTGTAATAACAGGGTCACTTTTCGCTAGAGTAATTTTTTTTCACAGTGGGGTCTGAAGTAAACAAAAAGTTATGATTTGAAAAAAAAATATATCTGATAACTTAATATAATCTTCAATACACTCAATAAACAACTATCAATAGTATGTCTAACGCAAGACCTCATCAGTACCAATCTAGTGGATATTTTGAAAAAAATACAGGGTGTAGATTTTTTCGAATATTAATAAGAATTTGTAAAAAACGTCAATTTTCTTATAAAAACGTAAAATAAATTATAACTCTGCAGGGGTTGAGCTTAGAGACCTCCCGTAGAACAATTTTTTGCAGCTGATAATCTAGCCCCTATTTGCGTTTGATCCACGACTTTTTGGCCAACCTGTATATACTATTATTTTAATATATGAAAAGGGAGATTTGTTTTATTTTTAATTGGTCGTTAAATTGATTATCATATTGATAAGTGGGTTATGGGTTGAGGGCTCTGGCCCCATATGGACTTTTAAATGACGTAAGATTTATAGTCGAGACTTAGTTTGACGTGTGTCAAAAATGAATTTTGAAATATGGGAGACATTCGCGCGTTCTTCTTTCTGGATCTTACCGTAAGGGCTTAGATAAAACTATGACATGCGTGATATGAACAACACGTAGTTAACTATAGTTAAAACTGTTTACGACGACATCGTTTAGACTTTAGAACAACATACCTGTTATATTGACCAAAATCAAAGGTCCCGGCTGAATTCTATTGTATTAGGTTCTTAATAACGTCTTCGGCTATTCCGACTATCGGTTTTTCCGATCAAGTATGAGCAGACCCTTCGATGTCGTTATAACAGATTTTGACTGTAGTTATGATATTTTTTTTATAAAAAACCTTGAGTCCGTGGTCATGTTTGGAACTATGGGCTGGTATTTGTAATCTGTGAGGTGTCAAAACTGTCACTATCGCATTCACATCTTATGATCGTATGAAAGGAATATATACATTTTATGTGTTTCAATACGTGGCCAGAGATGTCGCTGTCCTTAGAGGCTAAGTGGGGTAAATAAGTTTTATGACAGAGGCTTACGTAAAATATTGAAGAGTATGTTTGTCTTAAATAAAAAGTTAAAAGAGAAAGTGTTTTTTTTTCGTTCCTACTTCTTCTATCAGCATCTCATATCAAAGCGTCGTGGTCAGCAAGGATCTGGAGCGGACTATCTGTTTCCACCGGTTTCTGTCAAGCGCCTCTCATATAATAGTGTATAGTTTTTAGGACGTAGGTTCTGGTTGGTGGTTTACCGTCCACGATCAGTTTCTCCAAGTTCTAATCGCTTCTGCGAATTGTATGGCCGAAATAAGATTTCTAACGAATATCGATTGTTCGTTGAAATTGCGTGTGGTTTGGACAAAGTTTTGGTATATAAGTATGAACTATGAATCTAAAACAACCTATCAGTATCAACCGAATGACACACTATTTAAACTATTTTATTAATTACAAATGATTATATTACATTATAACTTCTACAAAAAAACTTTAATATAAATATTAAAAATCCTAAATACTTTGTTTTTAGGACGTCATGTTATCGCGTTTTATACATGCACAACGCCATCTATTGCTTAAAAATAAACTAAATGATCAAATTAGACGAAGTAGATATTATACTATAATTACTAGAAAGACTAATAAAAAAATCTATATAATATATCTAATATATAAAATTCTCGTGTCACATTGTTCGTTCCCATACTCCTCCGAAACGGCTCGACCGATTCTAATGATTTTTTTATGCATATTCAGTAAGTCTGAGAATCGGCTACTATCTTTCTTTCAAACCCCTAAGGGATAAGGGGTGTCCACCACAAAAAAAATATATTTTTATTTTCAGACAATTTGTTTTTATTTATTTATGATACAACGTACAAAAATACATACAACCCTTAATTTTCACCTTTCTACAATCAACCCCTATTTTTATTATAGTAGATAGTTATTTTTATCGAACTAAAAAATGTTTCCTAGAAATAAAATACATGGCAAAACAACGTTTGCCGGGTCAGCTAGTTTATATATATAATTTGCTATTCAACTAATTGTAGAAGGAAACAAAACGCTTCGACAACTTTACTTATAAGAAAACAAACATCGCCACACCACATTAATACACACAATGCAAACCAACATATAAGTTACCCAAAAAACGCACTTTGTTTGCGCAATGTTTTTTCTCCTTCCGAGGCCCTTTTCTTTAACCACTTTTAAAAACAAAATAACTTACAATCTTGAACATCTCATCAACCTGTCCTATGCTGAAACGGAAAGTATTCTTCCTGTGCAACATTTGTTTAATTATATAATCTAAGTGTATATAATTTTACCCAGTAATGTATGCAACTTTGTTTGTATTGGGTATAGTAGGATACAACAAGTTAGAGGTAAGAAGGGACCTTACTATCACATTATATTTATTTGAGGTCCTTAGAGGTAAAATATATAATGCGGAAATGTTGGAGAGACGGGCTGCGTGTGCCAAATAATCACACTCGGCGTGGTAAGTGGTCGCAATTGCTGGCAGTGCCTCGCGTACGAACTTACTCAGAGAAGCACCATTTACGCGTGTCTAGCGCACCCTAAACACTATTGCTTGTGAGAAGGTTATATTTAGTTGCAAACTGGCTGAATTCACAAGAATTATTATTAATTATTGTATTATTTATAATTAGTTATAAAAAGATTTAGGTTTTTATTAATACTTGTTATGTTTAATTATGGTTTTAGTATAGTTTTCTATTGTATTAGTATTAAGTTACTGTAAAAATAGGAAATAAGGAAAATAAATTTCAAATGGAAGAGATCAGCCCACGACCAAAGGAATCCTGTGGGTGAACGTGCACTTTCTCTTTTAAAACTAATCTTTTATTATGTGTAATAAAGTGTTTTCTTTCTTTCAGGAGTACTTTATTGATATTAATCTAATTAAAAACAGTAGGTGCTATCTGGACGGAAATCTCGGACGATAAACAATCAGATTATAAAACTATTTAACAATAGAATACCTACTCATATGATAACGGTGTTTGTTCTTATGTTTCTTAACATTTTTTCAGTTTTAAGAAATTTAATTTATATAATATACAGTATTTGCAATTGTCTTAACTTACATAGTAGTAATACAAATAATTTAAAAATTAATAAAAATAAAATTAAACAAATTTTAAAAACTTTGGTCCCTGAGGCAGTGTACCTTTTAGCAGTATTTCCTCGCTGAATTGCAATACTTATTCGTTGAGCGAGGAAAGCACCAGCTCTGGGGTCACCGGTACTATTTACCAGCCGCCAACTTAAATCTTTAATTAGCGCCTGGCACTTGAACCTCACGGCCCAAGAGTCTCTTATCCAAAGGGAACAAAATCGAAGTTAGAGGAGAGACTCTTATTTGAGCCGATTATTATTTTCCACCTGGTCTACGGCCGCCCCAGCTTTTTTGCTTGTCCGAGGCAAACGTGTTGACACAATTAGCATCCCACATCAAAGCCTGTCCCATTTTCCAAGGGATCTACGACTTGCCATCGTCCTACGATGACTGTTGATTCAGAATGGCTGAAACATTGATGGAGGCAAGAGAGCGCCCAAGCAAGTCAGCGAGGACACATAGCAGAGTTCATTTACTAGCGTAAAAGGAACACTGCCACAAGGACCAAACTTTTTGTTTTAATTTTCTATTTAAGAAATTCGTTTCCCGCTTAAGATTACCAGAGACTAAACAGAAACAAAATCATTCCAGCCAAAAACCTATTGAATTTAAACACACTGAAGTACTGTTCACATTTCAATTGAACATTGATCAACTGCTGACACGGCTCTCGTGGTTGTTCCAATTTTAATAACTGAAGCTGCGCGATGCAGCTCACAAGAATTATGTATATGTGATAGGTGTAAGTTGTATTACAAAAAATCAGATTTGAATATTGCTCTGTCTTATACATTTCTCGCTCCCTTTCAAAGTGGCGAAGAGTCGTTCAAGCCGTCAATGCTGAAATACTATAGTGGGCAGCTAGTTCCACATGCGGTAAGCGGCAGAAACTGTCTTAAAAACGCTCAGTTGTTAGGACAGACGTCGAGGTGATGGTATTTCGAATTCTGCCTTGAGGTCAGATGAACAGCTGCAGGTATCCAAACAACTCCCCTGAACATTCTCCGTGGTAAATAGTCAATAAGTTTTTGACAAACGTGAGCATTGCTGAACTGAAAAGTCTAACAGCTTGCCATATAGTATAAGATCCCGATATACAACGACCTTCACCGAGATGCTTATTTAATGAAACGTATTTTATATTTATATAAATTACGTGTCACGTTGTTTGTCCGCTATGGACCCCTAAACTACCGAACCGATTTCAATCAAATTTGCATACCGTGTGCAATTTTAACTAACTTAAAATATATGATAGCTTACATCTTAATTTATACCCGTATTTTATTGCAACCATACCAACGTTTCACATAGCTACAATTTAATGGCATAACCACCAAAAAAGCATGGTCCCCATGGGTCGCCATGACTGCTGTTCTCCTACCGTTTCCCTTGAATAGTTTACTACTATGTAATATAAAAAAAACTTTAGCCACAGCAAAGCTTGGCCGAGTCTGCTAGTGTCTTATATATATTGCAGTTCTTTACAGTATCTCCAACGGTATTCTACTGTGAGGTGCTGCTGCAGAGGTTCAATCCACATTTGTGCTGTAGAAGCGGGCTGTTCGGGATATTTATTGTGTTTCCCCAAGGGAGTCGGTACGGCCTAAGTTTAAGGAATTAAATATTATAACACTATCTGGCCAATATATTCTTGAAGCCTTGTTGTATGTACAAATAAATATGAACGATTATAAAACAAATGGTGACTTTCAACAGTATAATACCCGAAACAGAACCAATCTAAGCGTACGACCATATAGGCTCCAGAAGATAAACCACTCCTTATATGGAAGTTTTTACAACAATCTCCCAAGAAATTAGAGAATTATCAGTGAATAAATTAAAAACTCCCGTTAAACGTAAATTGATGAATAAAGGTTTTTACGAATTTGACCATTATTTAAATGATCCTAATCCTTGGGATTGATTTGCTCCAGTTCAAATATTTATGGCTCTGCTCGGCCTTACAATATGTATGACTCAAAACTTGGCGACCAAAAAGAGTGGCGGAGAGTTTCTTGCCAGTCGTTCATCGTTGGTAGTAAATGTAAATTTAGAATTAATTTAAGATATTTTCTGTTGACGTTCATTAGTGCACTTGGATAAAATTATTTTGAGTTGAGTTTGAGTTATACAGCGTGTTAGCACAGAAGTGATTAGACTTCTGTACTTCTTTCTACTCTTATACTTGCCAATTGAGAATAAATGATCACGAAATAGACAGAAATCTGAGATATTGTTATTATTTTAGTTGGGTTCGAACGAGGTTATTTTTTTTATTTATCAATATACGGCGATAATATATATCTAGAATTTCATAAGATTTAATTAAAATGATAAATAAATCAATTATGATTTTTATCACACATTGATTAAGTTTGGTTAGTTATAATTAAGCATTTAACATGAAGGGAACGAAGGCAACTGCGCTCGCAATCGCTATATTACTGGCGGTCGCTGAAGCTAATATTGTAAAATTTAAACCTTCGTAAGTACAATTTTATTTTCATTAATAATAATTATTTAGGCCTTGACAGCTCGGCTCGGGCTGTTTTGGAGAGCGGAGCTCTGCCGGAATGTCCTCACGACTAGCGCAAGGGCGTCCTGCGAGACATGGACCGCGGCTTGAACCGTTGTGGAGTGGTCAATCGCCTGAAGGGCGAAGCCTTCCCCGGTGAAGGCGGTTTTTTCCCTACTCTGACTAAGCTTTGCTGGGTTTAATTTTTCCATTAGCTAACGTGATGGGATTATCCCGATCCGTTAAAATGGACTTCCCACTTCGCCTTTGTGGAGTAGGAGTTACTTGATGCTTTTACGCACCAACGGATGGTCTTTTGCTTTGTCGAAGTGGCGTTTGGACGTCAACTTCATCCATTGGGCTATTGTAGGGAGCTCCAGGTCATGTTGGAGATCGACGTTACTCACGTAGAAGGGAGCATTGAGCATATCTTAATGTACAGAGAATAAGCAATTGTTATGTATGCGTTTCTACGTCACAAGAACTATTCTCGAAAACGCTATAATGATGTAATTATAATACAAATAAATTAATATATTTTTTAGCCCTTGGAAGTTGGACCAACTAGAAGACAACAATGAAGTATCCAGGTAATTAATTTAAAGAGATAAACAAATATATTATCTTGATATATATAATTCTACTGTACGTGTGTATATCTCTTAACTCCTCTTAAACGGCTGGACCGATTTGAATTAGTTTTTTTGTATGCGTCTGGGTGGCGCCCTGGATGGTTTAGATTAAAAAATCAGTCGGGCAGATGGCGCTGCAGCAAATAAACTGCTGTTATATATATATGTCACCGTAAAATTGTAAACACCGTCAGATTGTAAACTGTCGAAAGATTGTGAACCTCAACGAACTGCTTACGATTTAACGTATTATTATTCGGTAGATTGTAAACGAAGTGAAACCGTCAAATTACAATCTTAAAATTTTCAAATTGTTAACTGTCCGAAGGCTGTCCCTGATTGGTTGGCTTTATAGTAGACCGTTCTAAGTCCATAGAGTTAGGAATTAAACACGGGTATCAGGCAAATAAACTGAATGCACTTCAAGAATTGTGACATCAAGTATTTATTCATTACTTAGTAGGTAATCAATAATTATGACATCACATGGTAAAAAAAATTGTATCAAAATAAAAAAATCTGAAACGTAACAATATTTTCTCCTCAAACATAAATTAAACTTGAAAAATTAATGAAATTTTCTTTCATTTCATTTCCAACACGTATTTAGTTATCATTCAAACTTCTTTGGTCAATCACAGATTAATTTAACTTCCCAACAATTTCATATCACTAATTCTAAAGCTACGAGTTACTTTCAATACGACATTAATTTACATTCATCAAAACAATCAATTTACATTCGACAACAAACGAATTAACAAAAAAATATGGTGGCGCGGGGCATATTCCGTTCAACCAATCAGCGCGCGAGGTGCGATCCGTATCACAATTTGACGGTTTCACTTCGATAGATTACAATCTACCGAATAATAATACGTTAAATTGTAAGCAGTACGTTGAGTTCACAATCTTTCGACAGTTTACAATCTCGCGAGATAGATTACAATCTAACGGTGTTTACAATTTTACGGTGACATAATATCTTCTGCGCATGCGTTCGTAATTATACTCTTAAACGGCTGGATAGATTTTGGTAATTATTTTTGTGTGTTTCAAGTGTAGTCGAGAATGATTTAGATTATTAGATTTTTTTTTGTAAGTAAGACATGTGTACAGGAAAATGTCAGAACTGATAGTATAATAAAATGAAGTAGCGAACTTAATAATCACGCTATAAATAACGATGTATCGTTCTTTTGAAATCACCAATATTTAAAATTACTGTTTCGACATAAAAATATTATATATTTTTCTCTATTTACCGAAGTAATTTCCAACAAATTAACGCTTGTTACACTTAGTATAGACTGTAACAAGAAAACCATTTCTGAGTAAATATAAGTGACTTACAAATTGTTATTTTTATTTCTGTTGCTATAAAAATTCAAGTCAAACATTCATAATGAAAAATTCATAAAAGAAATCAAAAAAGAAAGAAAAAACAAGTTACATTTCAAGTGTGTCATGTGTGTGTTGTAGTTGTTACTGGCCCTGGCTCAGCATAATGCTGTGGAGCAGACGTTTTCCACAGCGCTGGCCATTCTGCCAGAGACCAGAACAGTTAGTTTGCGCCTCAGACGCAAGAAAATAATGTAATAATAATAATAGTAGTAAAAATTAACAGTGTAAAGAAGTCTTGGAAGATTGTAAATTGTAATGTGTAAAAGTATACGTATTGTAAATAAAAAAATTATTATATTGTACGTAATTAAAAATATTATATTCACAATATAAATTGTCTTTATCCATTGCAGTGTCAACTGGAAGTTGGATCAGAACACTAACGAGTATGTGAGCGATGAAATTATCATGTAAGTACTTTAATTCCGTCAAGACGCAGGGCTCGGGGTATAGAACGACCTATTACGAGAAAACTTTACGAATATGACCATATTTCGATTGGGAGTATTGGCTTAGAAATCCTGACGCGTCCTTGCAATGCTTGAAAAACAAAAACGGACAAAAATGAAATAAATCAGTGGCGAATAAGCTCGGTGGCGGTTGTTGTATGGATAACGCAGGCTGCAATTTTTCCGTACTAGTCTATCTAAAGTTAGTAATTCTTTTTTGGGAAAAGGTGTACTCTTCTTTAATAAAATCCCAGAGGCTCTTTTATCTCTGCCTTTTAATAAATTTAATTAATGTATTAAAGAAAAGTTGTGTAAAAAGGCTTACTATAAAGTTAACGATTATCTAATTGATAAAAGGGCCTGGGACTAGTGCTAGACAGGCTACTTCTAATTAATTTGCGATATTTGTTTTAAAATAAGTGTTGTTTGATGATTTGCTATTTTAAAAGAGTACCGAGAGTTTTTACGCCGGCTTTTTCTCTCGGCCTACACCCTCTGTCTTCTTTGCCAATGAGCAGGGATGTCTACCGATTCAAATTTAATAACGTGGAATAAGTGATACCTTTATCTTATATTCCATACTAAACATTTTTTATTTTAATTTTATGTTCACATATATTATATATGGTAAATGAAACACTTTGTATGAAGCTGGGTAACTGGCTTTAATCGTTTAAAACATGAGCTTATAACTAAGATAACATTAGGGGTAGTGGGGTTGAGACGCTGGATTAACAAAATACTAACTTGACTTATTGAAGAGTTGTTAAATCTAAGTGACACTTATTGATATTGTACATTATCGGAAACGAGAATGTTCAATTACAATTAATGGGTGTGGTAAAAACTAAAGGGCTCAATTTGGCATTAAGTGTGCGATGATTGTTTACATTTTGTTTATGCTTTTAATTATTATCTAACTAAAATATGTATATGTAACGTAACTAATGTTTGGTTACATAACTGGCTACAATTTCTTCAGATCTGGGCCTCTGATTTCTATATCTGTTTAATTAATAGGCAAGTAGGTGTTCAGCCTGTGTCTGACATATGTCGACTTTTTGAGTTTAAGACAAGTTGGTTTCCTCGCGATGTTTTCCTTCACCGTTCGAGCGAATGTTAAATGCACACATAGACAGAAACTAGAAAGTCAATTGATGCTCCGTCTCCTTCAGGGATGAGAGTCGCACACCTAAGCCATTAGCCAACATTGTTTTTGTTTTTATGTAATAATAATTAACACGTTGGACAAGAAGAGCTAACATTAGAAAAGAATGGAAGCATCTGGAAGAGGCCTTTTCACAGAACGCGCTGATCAGCAAAACCGGCATATATGATGTATTAGATTAAGTTACGTATTTTAACTAAAACAATGTTTACATCTATAGCACTGGGTGTCAGCAATAAAGGCTTAATAATAATAATTAAAAATGGATAAATAGAAAATCAAAAGAAATTTAAAAAGTTTGGCCCCTTTGTTTAATGCTGGCATTTCCTCGCTGTATTGCGACTTATTCGTTGAGTCCTACGGCCCAAGAGTCGTAGGCCAAGTTTGGCCTACTCCGAACATATACAATCAAAAGCTAGTAGTTTGTCGACGCAGCATGGAAAGGAGCATGCTTAATATAAGACTACCGGATCGATGGACAGCTTCAAAACTAAGAAAAAAAAACAAACGTCAGTGACGTGCTACAAAAAATAAGAAAGCTTAAATGGAACTGGACTGGACATATAATGAGGACTAACAAAGAAAAATGGACTAAGGATGTAATAGAGTGGTATCCGAGAAACGGGAAAAGAAAACGAGGAGGTCATATTAAAGATGATCTGCCAAAAGGATGGAGAAGGTCTGCCAAGGATAGAGACACGTGGAAACAATTGGGGGAGGCCTATGTTGACAGACAACCTGACCAAAGTTGTTACTAATAAATTATTATTTGCGCTATGTATATTAGATTTAAGAATACTACTGTTAAATAAGTATAGCATGTAAGTTAAAAAGGTTAGTGAATAAAGGGCTTTTATTATTATTATTATTACGGCCCAAGAGTCTCTACTACAAAGGGAACAAAATCAAAGTTGGAGGAATTACTCTTATATTAGAGCCGTTTAGAATATTTAATCCCTAATTTTGCAATGTTATTTTTAGACCCACATGGGACCCTACACAAGATGCCAGCGATAAAGTCAGTGATGAGTAAGTATATGTATCTATTTAATATTAGGTAAATATGATATGATATACATGTGAAATTGAAGTTTTGTATTATAGTTTTGTATTGGAACAAAAGTAGATAATTTTAAATATAACATATTGAATTAATCATTAATTCATTAAGTATTTGCCATTGCTATCTATGCACTTTTGCCATCTTATAGGCATAATTATATGTTTTCATTGGTCCCTTTACTATAAAATCCATTCGGACGGGAATCAATAAAATCTGTGAAAGCGGTTTCGACTGCCCCGACTGTTGATTTTTTTATTTTATGGGGGGGGCATTAAGTAGATACTATGCCAACTGTAAGTCCTGTTTTGTTTCTAATTTAACCCCACCATGGTAATTGTTATAAAAATATTTTAGGCCAAAATGGAACTTGGGTCTAACAGCTACAGTAAACAGCTATGTGGACAGCACCTTACATCTATTGGTTCCATTTTTGGGAAGTAACGGCTTGGACCCCATGTTATTACCAGAGATCGTAGAGGGATTTGAAGTTGTAAGTATTTGTAATTTTTACCATTTACATTATTTTTATTGCTAAGCTTCCTGTGGGCTCCCCGAGAAATTATGCGAATGGTTGACGGAGCATGATTCGACCTTAAACGCATATCAATTATATGTTGCAACTCAGCAACTAACATTGCTATGCGGACGACAGCACAGAATCGATGTTAGTTGTTTCGACTATGTATTTGCGTATTGTTTCTACGAGAATGTAAGTGCGTGCTCCTATTTCACCATGCCTCCTGCAGATAGAGGACAAATCTTTGTTTTTAATTTATTTACTTAAGATGTCATGTGGAAAAACTTGGCGATTAAAAAGAGTGGCTGAAAGTTTATTGCCAGTTCTTCTCTTCCGTTCTACGCCTTTGATTTGAGATGTGGCAGTAAATGTAAAATTAGAAGTATTTAATGTATATTTCTTTTTTGACGTTCATAAGTGTACATTGATACCTATATGAATAAATGACTTTTGACTTTTGTCTTTTTTGAGTAAACTCTTTACACTGGCCATGCAGCTATTTGTCTATCAGTATCGGAACATATGTGTAGCCTTGCGATACTGTAACTCACTTTTCGAACTCACACAGCGGTTTTCACAGCGGCGGTCGAGCTCAAATCAGTCGTGAAGCAGTCATTTTATGATTTGGCATTCTGATAATGAGGGAGCTTGTAGTTTATTATTTATCAACTACAAGCTCCCTCCTATCAACTACAAGCTCGACGCTCTCGCCGGCCTGGCATTGAGAGTCTCCATGAGCGGCGGTATCACTTAACGTCAGGTGAGCCTCCCAAGTAACACGTAATCTGTATATTCACTGAAGTAAAGACTGATTTACGTTTTAAAGTCAGACTATCACTTTAAATCAGTTTTGACTTAGTTTAAATGCTTTTCAGTAGAATGTGGTAAAATTTATAATGCATGAAGCTATTGTATGGTCTAAAAAATAAGGTTAATTGGCTTATAATCATACTAAAACATTAATTACTTTTAATATACAGCACCTTAAACAGCATTTACACTAACACAAAGGTTAAGACCTTATATTAGTAAATAAGAAAACCTAATACAGCTACTGCCCGTTTAGCCTGTTCAATATAAAAAAAGAAGCCGCCACACCCGATTGAATGCTTTTACTATGTTATCTCTTCCCTGTATTTATATATTAGAAATGTCTTTATTCGTGCATAGAAACATACATATGTATTTTTAAGTCGAATGTAGAAGTCGAAGTAAGAAGTATACATGGGGAGAAATTGGCTGTGCCGGAACTCAATCTGGAACTGTTTAGGAAAGACACCTTTTCAAAGGCCATTAAGGTTTACAATAATTTACCAAAAGAATTAAAAGGTCTTCCGACTAGAGTCTTTAGAAATCGACTTGGTGTATTACTTTTGGAAAAAAAGTATTATTCAATAAATGATTATTTGCGTGAGATACTGTAGTTGATATAAATTTAATAACGTATGATATGTAAGATACAAATAATATAAGAATTGACCAATTCATATGACTAATAATTTAGAATGTAAAATTCCTTTAAAGACAAATTTGCGCGCCATTGTGAGTGGCAGGATATGCGAACTTACGTTTCTACCACCTTACACATTTTTGTACCATATATATTTTTTTTTTGTATATTCTCCATCTGCAATCAGTGCTTTCACTTTTAGCAAATATGTTGGATGCTTATCTCGTTCGGAGTGTGTCCTCCAGTGAGAACATCTACTCATAATTCTTCACATTATAGAATGTCTTTTCGCTTAAGGCGTTTAACATAGCTCTGCATCGTGAGCTGTCGTGCAAGGGCATTGGGGTGGGCTGCTAGCCGTTCCCCGTATCTGGTCTTGATATTAGTTATTTCTTCTCTCACTGTGAGCATTCCCAGGTGTTCGTGGATCTCAGCATTAGTCACATACTTTTATCACTGCCTTTCAATAAATTTAAGAAATGTATTAAAGAAAAGCTGTGTAAAAAGGCTTACTATAAAGTCAACGATTATCTAGTTGATAAAAGGGCCTGGGACTAGTGCTAGACAGGCTACTTCTAATTAATTTGCGATATTTGTTTTAAAATAAGTGTTGTTTGATGATTTGCTATTTTAAAAGAGTACCGAGAGTTTTTTACGCCGGCTTTTTCTCTCGGCCTACACCCTCTGTCTTCTTTGCCGATGAGTAGGGATGCCTTCAAATTTAATGACGTGGAATAAGTGATACATGTATCTTATGTTCCATAATAAACATATTTTATTTTTATTTATTTTATTTTACCAGGGGACATTACTGATAGTCCGGAGAATAATGTTCTGCATTCTTTGTATGCGCATGATGGAGGAGTTACAAGCACTACCCCATAGTTGAAGGCCGTACATCCATACAGGTTTCAGGATCGACTTGTACACTAGTAGTTTATTGTCTACAGACAGTTTGCTGTTTCGGCCTTGCTTCGACCATATTCTTGCAGTAAATTATTATTATTATATTGAAAACAAACCGATAGCGCCTCCTCCTTGAACCCAATTGCCTCTGCCCATCTACGTGTGACGTGTGTGCCACTGTCTGACCTCATAGGGACCGTTCAAGTATTACGTAAGCACTATTGTCTTTGATTTTCTGATTTGGTGATTACGTCAGCAGTAATTATTTACTTTTTGAAGTGAAACTTCTTTAGGGGCATGAGGATTTTAAGGAACGTTTTTGTAGAAGAAAAGGGAGAGAGCGATTGGGACTGATTGAGAGAGAGTGAGAAGGTTGAATTACCTTACAGAAATTCTATTTTTAAGATTAAAATTTCGTAATGATATTTTATGAAATATTAGTGTTTTATAATTTATGCAAAATAATTTAATGAAAATAATATAAATCTGAAATGACGAATTGTAAATTAAAATGCCTCGTGTTTTTATTATCAAAGAAATAAATTAACAAAATTAAATTTATAATTTGTAGGTAGGTATTCATTTTCGACACTTAATATTTTAATGATAATTAAATTCATGAAATGCCTAACATATCTTCCATTTTCCCTCCAAGTCTCGGAAATCTAAAGTATTAGATTTGTATAAATATGAACAAGAGTTAAAAATTTGTTTTCCAAAGAAGTTTTACTTCTGACGTGTACTTTGGACGCACGCACTTTTTGTACATTTGCTGAAAAGATGGGGGGGGATTAAATTTCAGTAAATCTGCTTAGGTGATATGTACTTGAACAGCCCCTTAAATGTCATGTGTTAACTTCGAACAGGCATTTAAAGAGGAACTGAACTTATTGCTGTCATTCACAAATAGATTATAGATAGCGCTAAGCAAAATTTTAACTAAATTACATTTTACAGCAGAATATCGTATTTGAACATAATTGCAGTTAATTAAGATAATTTCTGTTTTAGCGTCTACTGTTAATTACGTACAGCGCCTGGTTGAAGCTGACTGAAGGTAACATGACAGGCCTAGTGAACGTGACCAGATTCGAAGACCAGAAAGTTAATTATTTCGCTAAAAACCTCCGAGTTCGTGTACATTTGCAGTTCAATGACCTTGAGGTAATTATTTTCCTTATATTAGAAATAGCGGATCGTTTTGATAACACCTTATTTATAAAAAAACTTATTGCGTTCTTTTTCAACTAAATATTTTTTATCAGTCAAATTATATTTGACAAATACTTAATAGTCCAATATATTTAACGTTGTGAAGAAATGAGCGCTCTATATAGGGCTATTTGACTAGATATGAAAACCCATTTTAGATAATTTATTATTATATACAGGGTGTCCCAAAAGTCGACGTCAAGTCGAAATTTTCTCATAGGTAATGCCACACCAGTTATCAGAAAAAAAAAAAAATAAGTCATGTATTTTTGAAGTTATGGATATTTTTTGTTATTCCAGAAAATGCACACCATGTGACAGTTTTTTCATTCCTGTTGTTACAAATATTTACTTTTTGCCAAATTTTTTTCTCTTACGTCATCCCGAATAGTGTTTTATGTAACCTATGATCCTAAACTCTGTGCTGATCACTCCAACTTTTAGGAAAATGTCATTTTATACCGTACCAAGTTTTCAAAATTAATTTTCGCACTACTTCAACTGATCGTCCTGAAAAAAACATGTATTACTCCAGTTTGGCAAGTAGCTTTAAAAGTTAGCGCATTTAATAAGGATTCTACAGTGGTATAACACTGAGTCCATTATTTCTTAGATCGGCCAGAAGAATTTTTTTTTGTTAAACAAAGTCTGTTTTTAACAATCTCTTTGAAATTACAACAAATGATTCTAGCGCACCCAAAACGTTCCTAATGACCACAGCGTGGTTTAAATAAGATGGAGAGAGAATTGTTTTTAATTCTGTTTAATATTATATAATTTGAAATTATCGTTCATAATTTTAAGAACCCGCCAAAATGCAAAATGGCCTCGCATCACAACCATGAAATAATGAATTGTTATTTGTTATGAAGCGAACGAATGCTATGTAACTGTTGAAGAAAGTGCATATTATATCCGGCTATAGTCTAGGGGCGTAACTCCGACGATTTAGGTAATCGCCACGCTTATGAAACTAAGAAAGCCTGAATGAGCAAAATGTACAAATTTAGTACTCATTACGAGCAAATGTGTAATTTAGATTGTGAATGTCGGCGGAGTCAGCAAGATTTATTTTTACACGCCATTCTTTAAAGAGCAATGTTTAGTTGTCTTTGGTAATACCAAAATAATTACTAAGAAGTTTTTATTATACGTATGACGCGCGATTTCTATAGTCCATCGCATGGACCAGTTTAGGCGCCAATCAAATGTTTAATGTTTTTTTAAGATGTTTGCAAGAAGGCGCCATGCACCATAACATTAAAACAATGACTATAGTATATATGTAATATATTAATAGTATATTTTATTATATATTTGTTACAGTTTAATTACAATTACCTAGTCCAAGTAATGAATATTGGACCCACTGGAAAAATTATTGGATCTTTGGACCGTTTTCGAATTGTCGCAGATATTTTGATCGATTTTAATAACGACGAAATCCATTTGCAAGAGTTCAAAATTAATGATGTTGGGTAAGGTTTTTTTTATATAACAAACGAAGAACAAGGGAGCAGGGTCATCTGACGTTAACTGATACCGCCGCCCATGGACACTCACATTGCCAGCAGGCTCGCAAGTGCGTAGAATTGGTACGCTCTTTTCTTGAAGGACCTTAAGTGGAATTGGTTCAGAAACACTTCAGTGGGCAGCTGGTTCGACAGAAAGGTGGTGCGCGGCAAAATCTGCCTTAAAAAGTGTTGAATGACAAACGAGGACACGGGAGGAATATCGTAATCCTCGACGTCCGATGATGAAACTCAGCTGCAGGTATCCGAACAACTCTGAACACTCCATGGTAAATGCGCTAGAAAATGCAGAGAGACCCCACTACGCAACGCCAAGGGTTCAGCCGGTTGGAAAGTAACTGGTCGTGGATGATTCGGCCCTTTCGGTCGGAAGGTCCTTTGGGAATCTATATATTCCTTTGATTGACGAGGTGGCTACAGTACACGGTAGTTTCATAATTCAATAAAAAACTTTTTATTCAAGGACCACATTTATTTAAGAAAAAAAACAGGCATGAAAAAATCTAATCCGTACGTCAATATACTTGGTCAGGTGTCAAACACGACATGTAACGAAATGTTTATCAATAAACCTGATTTACTTATATCTTAAATGCACACAATATATCAATTAATTTAATTTTGACTTTAAAGTATATAAATACGATATTTTAGGTCGTTATTAGACTAAAAATTTGCTGTTTTATTGATATGATCGACTTTAATTGAAGATTTAACAAATGTTTGTAACTCTGAATCTTGACGTCAGAGTCGAAAATTGTTTATGACTCGTATGTCAAAGAGATTTTGTCATAGTATGAATTTTATCATTACTTTTAATTGGTAGTGTTACACTAAGTATTTTACTTAATATTATAAATATTAACATAAATAATTGTTCAACAGACGTCTGCGTGTGAGACTACGCGGCAACATTCTTTTCGATTGGCTTCTAAATCCCGTTATATCTGTTTTTACAAGGCTTTTTAACGGTATCATCATGTTTACCGTCGAACTTATCATTCGTGGAGTCTTTCAGTCGGCTGTAACCGGTATTAATGGCGCTATACGTGACGTCATTTCCGCAATCGAAGCATTTAATTGAACTGCAGAATAAAAAATATATTGTTAATTGTGTTTTATTCTGTAGCTTTACAGAAATTGTTTTTGACACAATTCAGTTTAGAATAATTTGAGATTAGATAGTTGTAGGTTCTCAACCGTGTAGGCATGTGTTCGAACCCCGGCTCTGCACTAATGGATGTACGTTATAAATTTGCTCATATGTCTAAGACCTAAAACAAATACAGAAATGTGAGACAAGATATTGATCTATATCTAGTTACAATGTCACACATATACCCAGAACGCACCATAAGCGTTAATGCAATCACTACAATGAATGCTTAGTTTTATTATTCTATCATGTAAGGGTTTTTAGCAGTAAGAATAGAATTATACTGAGATCAGTCTAATATCGACCACCGTAGTTATAGGGTCTTGCATCGACCACCATAGAATTAGAGTCTAACATCGACCATAGTTAAGAATACTAATTGTAATATTCCTTAATAAAGTTAGCTTTTTAAAAAACCTTTTAAATACCGTCGCGATTTGACTATCTTGTGGATGTAAACAGTAATGTCAAAAATTTATTTGGTCTATAACAAAATTATTACTTTGCCAGTAATGAAACTCAGGATCTCTGGAGTTATGAGCTCTTTGTTATATTATATATTGTAAATATTTATAGATTTTAGGGATACCTAACGACGAAGAATAGTCCTGAATACTTAAAGAGTGCCCTAGACAAATATACTTTGCGACAGGTCTTACCGACTAACGCTAGACGATTTATAGAAACGGTTACGTTGCAAAACGTGATTTAATGCCATTCTGTAGGTAGCAGATAACTTGCACGATGCTTACGACCTTTTTAGCTATATTCTCTAAGAAAAATAATTTAACGTTTATAATTAATTACTGTCACTAAAGACCGTGATTTAATAACAAAGGTCGTCGATAAAAGATCGGTCCGGTTTCTCACTGTTTCGGTTTCTTGAATCGTTGTTGGTTTTGCAGGTCAGCCAGAGATTAACCCACTGTGCCCTAGTCTAATAGTGGGGCTGCCTCTTTAGAGCTTCCAGACAAGCTCGGGTTTATGCGGGTGAGTCCTCCCTAGTGAGTGAATTCTGTTTTAAGGCGCAGAATATTCGCCTTTTGTCCTGTATTCTCAGCTCTAGGTAGTGGGCACGCGAAAGCGTGGCTGTAGCAAGGCCCAGGGTGGACGACTAGGACGTGAATGACTCGGACTGGCCGGGGTTCTGCTTACACTAGTGTTCTACTACATGACACAGCAGATGACTTTTTGGCTTTTTCTCGGCAATGCTGACCTCACTCCATCAGTGATTGCCACCAACACCAACCCCAACTTCCCACTCCACGAGCGAGGTGAAATACGAGGCTCAAGACCAACGCCCTCTGCCCCATCTAGGGGTTATAGGATATTAAGAACTATAAAGACATTTGAAATAAAAAAAACTTTTCGAATAAATTAATTTTTACCTAAACATGTATTAAATTAATTATAACATTCCCATGAAATGTTATATTACTACAATCGATAGGATATATTTCCACCCGCATTTATTTACTCATAGAATAATTTATTGCGTTGCGATAAATAGAATTTCCGATAAAGATTGTGTATGCGTTAAACACAATCTTTGTTTTAAACCAAATTATCATATTCAAGCTTTATCTAGTCAAATCTATTGATGCCAACAAAATTTAATGGAGAATTGCACACCTATAATGAGTAATTTTGTATTCCCCTAAATGGTTAATTGAGGCCCACACAGTTTGTTATTTATTCAATAGACACTATTATACGATAATTACAAAACTTCATTAAAAAATAAAGTACAATTCTGGTTAAAAAGCATGATATGACAGGTGTCATAAGGAATGTTGCGGTCAGTTGGAACTCGATTTTAGCTAGAGATTTTAGATATGAATCATTAATATGAAAAAATCATTATAAAAATGTTATAAATTAAATTTCCAACACAATACAGTATTTAATAATAGAGCGAGGAAATGCTGCCAGCATTAAACGTACACTGCCACAGGGATGAAACTTTATAAATGTTTTATATTTATATATTGTTGAAATTATTAATATTATAAATTAAAATATTAGGTAGGTATATAATAATAGAGATTTGTAAAGCATTTTTTTTCTAAAAATTTAGGCTTGTTATAAATATTGGTCATGTTGTCTATGTTTTTTCATCACAGCGCTAATAAAATTTGACAGGAAGAGATGAAAGAGTTCTTTAGTTAAAAGAGCAAATTACTGATGACAATTATGCTGCATCTCATACACAAATTAATCTTCGCTTGTTTGAGCGAACCATTTATCCTCGTGAAGTTTTTTTAATAAGTCCCAAGTTCAAATTAAATTTGATATTTTTTCTGTTTCTTAAAGTATCTTCTTGTCAATATAAAATTAAAACCTGAGGGTTGAGGCAAAATCACCTTTCGAGTTTCGACAGTTACTAACCATTGAAGTCAAACGAATTTTCATGAAAATGTTCACGTGACGAAGCGAGAGTTTATGTCAAGCCCCTAGTACTTCACTTCACTTTATTTATAATGGCGACATCTGTGTAAATCACAATTCCGCCAATGTCACGTTCTAAGTCTTCACACAGTGAGGATAGATTTGATAATTTTACTAGATTGAATTTTATCTAAGCAGAGTTACCCAAAACAAAAATGACATCACAATAAATACAACACACACAGACATCTAATAATATATACAAAAGGTTAACATTTTACTATAAGGTATGGAGGGGAGAATCTTATTTATAATTTTAATTTATTAACAGAAATAAATTTCCCTAAAATATTGACGATTGAGCTGGATGGGAGGGAAAGTAGGGAGTTAAGGTTACATGGACGAGGGAAATCTGAAGAAAGATGGTCAAATAACGAGTCATTAATTAAAGAACAGTTAAAAAATATGTGGTCTGTCGAGCCTTCGTCCATACCACACTCACAGAGAGAACTGTCTTTAATTTTAATTTTGGCTAGATGAACGGGAGTACAAGCGTGCCCTATACGAAGACGGCAGATTATAGACGTGACCTTTTTGTTTAAAAACTTATATTTAAAAAACCACGGCGAAGAAGGGATTGAATACTGAATATTAGCATAGTGCCTGCCAGTTTTTACTTTAGAAGATTGCCAATCAATAGTCCAGGATTTTAAAAGGTGGGAGTACGCAAGAGCTGATAGGTCGTGGGCCGAGATGTTGGGATGCTGACAAGATCCGCAGAAAATAGCACCTTTTGCACAAGAGTCAGCAGTTTCATTACCCGCTATACCACAATGACTAGGAATCCACAAAAGTACAATATGAATATCTTTTTTACTACACCTAAACAAAGCTTCTCTTATTTTTAGAATAGTATTATGTTTTTTTTAGACCTGAATGGATTGGAAAGAATTGCCTGTAAACAGCTGCGAGAATCGGAAAAAATTGTAACTTTATTTAGGTTGTGGGACTCAGCATACAAAACCGCTTCTAGGATTGCAAAAGCTTCACCTGAAAAAACGGAGGTCAATGGAGGAAGTTTAAAGCTCAATACTGTTTTGAATGAAGGAACCCATACAGCCGCACCGATGTACTCATTATTGGGAATCTTGGAAGCATCAGTATACATCGGTAACCAACCCTGCCAGTCTTTAGAAATTTTTTCCAGAAAACAAGTGGAAGCTTGGGTGGATTTTTTTCAATTCCAAAGTTTAAAATTATTTTAGGATCAAAAATGAGGGATTCATAACTATTTAAAAACAAGGGATTACTAGGGAAACTTTCAATAGGATTAGGAAGACGAGAAAGTTTATTAAAACTGTATAACAGGCATGGAACATTACCTGTACTAGATGGCATCGTGAGATTAGATAAGCGACGTAATTTGGACAAGATGGAATGTGAAGAGTATTGAAGGACTTTGATGAAGAAGCGGTCACTTAAAAATTGTCTACGTAAATACAGGGGGGGGTCAACACATTCTATTTGGAGAGCATTGATGGGAGAGGATTTCATAGCACCAAGGATGATGCGTAAAGATTTCGATTGAATTTTGGAAATTTTATCAAGGGCTTGCTTGTTGCCAGGATCTAAAAGGAAGGTGCCATAATCAAAATGACTTCGTACCACAGCATTGTATAAAAGCTTTTGCAGTAGGGGTGTGCTCCCCACCTCACACCAGATAATGAACGGAGAACATTAACACCCTTCTCACTTTTTTTAATCACATGGTTAAAATGAGGAACACCGTTTAACTTTGAGTCTAAAATAAGGCCTAAAAATTTTACTTGCTTACAACACGATACCAAGGACCCTTTATATGAAATGTTACACCGTGGGACCTTGTATTTTGTAGTAAATGTGACTGCCGAGCATTTGGGCACAGAAATAGAGAGACCATGATCATTTAACCAATCACCCAAATAATCCAAAGCCGAATTTAGGCGTGATGATGCCTCTTCAATAGAATTTGATGAAAAGTATAAGGCTACATCGTCCGCGTATTGAAGAATCTGACAGAAGGAATTCACAATAAGCTCCAGGTCATAGGTGTAAATGTTGTACAGAAGGGGACTCAAAACAGAACCTTGAGGTAAGCCCCTCCAAATAGATCTAGGAGACAGCTCCGTATTTTGAGATCTTATAATAATATAACGATTCGAAACTGCATTGCAAACAAAACGTACCAACTTCTCAGGAATACTCAGCTGAAGCATTTTTTGCCTGAGCACTGGAACCAGCACGTGGTCATACGCAGATGCGATATCCAAGAAAACACCCACCAGGAACTGTTTCTTTTTAAAAGCAATGCGAATGTCGGTCGTTATTATACTTAGGCTATCCATCGTACTTAAGCCTTTCCTGAAACCAAACTGGGATTTTGCAAAGATATTGTTACTTTCACAAAACCATTCTAAACGAATTTTAATCAAATGTTCCATAATTTTTAAAAGGGTAGAAGACAAAGCAATAGGTCTGTATGAAGAGAAATCTGATGGATCTTTGCCAGGTTTTAGAAGCGGAATGACGATTTGTCTGTTCCACGATTCAGGAATAATTCCAAGATCGAAAAAACAGTTTACTAAATCTAGAAAGTACCTCTTAGTGCCTAATGAAGAATTTATGAGGAATGAGTAAGGGATTCCATCTTCTCCAGGGGAAGAGTCAGAGATACCATTTAATGCTTTGTTAAGTTCTTCCAAGGAGAATTGACAATCTAGACTGTTTGAAGAGGGGATGTAAGAATTATACTTATAAGGAAGACAATCATAAAAAGGGACTGATGGAGGAGCCAATTTGTCGGCAAAGGAGGTAATCCAGCTAGACGGATCATTAAAAGGGACATCATAAGAATTGAGGGAACAACGGAATCTTCTGATCTGCCTCCAAACAACAGACGAAGGGGGTACCAGGGCACATGCTCTCACAGAACTTATGCCAACCAAGACGTTTCTTATTATTAAGAAGTCTGCGAGCAGCTGCAGAAGCTTGTTGGTAGACTAAAAAATTTTCCAAGGTCATGCAAAGACTGTATGACCTTTCTGCCGTTTTTCTTTTTCGAATCATCTCAGTACATTCGGAATCCCACCAAGGAGGAGAAATTTTCCTTTGTGTAGAAGATTTGAGTGGAATATGTAAACTGGCAGATGAGGTGAGGGAGTTGACAAAATCATTGTATGAAGATAGGCAGTTTTCAACAGAAACTGCGGGAGCGCAGCTATCTTAGAGTCAATAGAAGATGAAAAGTCTGACCAATTGGCCTGATTCAGTTTAAATTTTAAAAGAGGGGAAGGGCGAGTAACGCTCCTTAAATTGGTTGGAAGATCAATTAAAATGGGGAAGTGGTCACTCCCACAAGTGCTCTTAAAAACACGCCAGGATAGAAAAGGGAAAAGATCAGGAGAACAAAGTGATAAATCCACTGCGTTAGCGGGATTCTGAGATGGAAGACTCCTTCTCGTAGGACAACCATTATTCAAGACACTTATGTTTATATCATCGAGTAAATCTAGTAGAAGGGACCCAAAAGAATCTGAGGAATGACAACCCCAAGAAACATGGTGGGCATTGAATTCACCCAACATGACAACAGGAGGAGGAACCGAAAGGATAATAGAACGTATATCAGAAATGAGGTCGATATGGGGGTGGGGAATATAAACAGAAATAAACGAGATATTAAAAGCTCTCATAGCAACAGCATTGATACCATCACAATGAGGAAGAGATAATGAGTGGAAGGTGAGGGATCGGCTGACCAAAAAGGCACAGCCAGCATAGCCATCATCCCTGTCATCTCGGAGACATCGATACCCAGAAACCCTAAAGCGGGAACCCGGCAATAACCAAGTCTCCGAAATGGCTAGAATAGATGGAGCGAATTTATTGATAAGAAAGGTTAATTCTGATTTTTTACTGCGAATACTGTTACAGTTCCACTGAATTACCAGATTCGCCATTTTTGGTGACGAATGAGTGGAGCAAATTAATTTTTTGGGCAACGTGGGACGGTATGGGGATGTCATCATACTTGGATAGCATATTACAAATGACTGCCCATAAGCAGTCAAGAAGATTTTCATTTGGGGAGACTTCATTGTTGATAAGGGAAGGGGAGCTTACGGCACAACCATTGGGTAAAGAGGAGGGTAAATTGGAAGTAATGGCCTCATGGGCCGCCTTATCAAAGGATTTTCCTGATGTTGGTCTAGAGCGAGGAGGGAGAAATACAGTTTTCCTGTAAGATGTAGTCTGACGGGAAACTTGGGAAGGTAAAGTAATGGGCTGGGATAAAGAGGAGGGGGTTGCTTTTACAGAATCTGCAAAAGTTTTGCCATTGATAGGTCTAAACCGAGCCGATGCTTCGAGATAAGAAATGCTCTCTTGAGACATACAACTCTTTATATTTCTTTGTCGATTATGTTCAGGGCAAGCTTTGTTGGTCGCAAAGTGTGAGGCAGTACAAAATAAACATAATGACTCTGTTTCAGGGATATTACACTCATCACCAGAATGGGCTAGACTACAACGAAAACACCTAGGCTTCGATCGGCATTGTGACTTTACGTGACCAAACCTACAACAGTTAAGGCACTGAATTGTAGGGAGTTGGTACGTTTCAACGCGGAGGGAACTATGACAAGAGAATATTCTCTCAGGAAGGGTTTGACCTTGAAAAGTTAGAACAACGGTTTGTGTTGGGATCCAATTAATTTGACCATCGGAGTTCGTCTTGCGGTTTAGGCGTCTGGCCTTGAGGACTATACCTGTACCTTCGGGAATTTCCAAGGTTTCGACAAATTCCTGCATCGACCAATCAGCTGGGACACCTCTCACAAGGCCCATACGGGAAACATTATAGTTAGGAATCGTAACAGAATAGTTGCTGGAAGGTACAATGGGATTAGACACAAAATTATTCGCATCTAAGCCCGACTTAAACTCAACAGATATTCTGTTACGTCCCACTCTTTTAACACCATCACGAACAATGTTACTTACTTTATTTTTTACCAAGAAGTGACCAAATTTAATTGGGCGGATTGATGTACCGGCGGATGGGTCAGATTCAGGGCAAGAAACATGGACTAAAAAAGGGCCCTTGTCATTGACAAGGTATGACTTGGGAGAGCCAGTGAGAGATGGATGGGAGTAAAATCCTGGGTTGACGTCATCAACAGATGACCGGACATCAGTCATTGGTTTTTGGAAGGTTCCACTAAAGATTCATTGACAGTATCAAGTCTGCGCTTGACACCAGGTTGGGGCAACAGTGGGGTGGATAAATCCATTGATTCCACCGGAGAAGAGACCCTATCCGGAGGATCAGGGGGTCTGGAGGGCGTTTCTCCATTATAAACTACCAAAAATATAACAAGGTAAAGGGAGAACTATAACAAATAAATAAAAATAACTTACGTAATTAGTTGATGTTATTAATTAACCACCACCAATAGGATAAGTCAACTTATATTCATTAAACTACGAGAAAAAATAGAAAATACTAAATAATGATATCCGAAACACGTGTAAACACTTATACCCGCAACGACGGACCAAGCCCCTAGTATAAACGATTAACAAACAGTCAAGTCACTTGTACTGTCATATGTCAAAAATCACCATACTCGGTATGAAGTCAATTGTCAGTGTTTAATAATAAAGGACGTGATTCTCTCGGGCACGTGTTTGAATTAAAAATAAAAATAGATTATTTTTATTTTATGTTATTAAAATATGGGTAAAGCAAAGAAACTAAAACCGTCGCAAGTTGCAAAAAATATTGGCCTCGCTGACCAAATTGAATCCACAAATGCTGTGAAATTAAAAAGCAGATTAAAAGAAAAGCACAGGCAGGATGAAGATGAAGAGGTGAGTCAAATTTAACTGTTTATATTATTTTACATACGTCCAGACAAGATTATATATTTTTTTCGATTTTTATAGTTTGTCAATGCAGATTTATCAAAGAAAATCTTAAAAGCAGCCAGACGTCAACAAGCAGAATTAGGAAGTGATGTAGGACCATCTTCTAAAAGTACACTACCTATTTCAATTAATGGTATGTAAATTTATATTTACTACTTAATATTTATTGTTATTTTATTTTTATTTTCTTTGCTTATGTTGTAAAATGCCTGAAATGTATTTTAAGCAAACAATGATGCCTAAATTTATTGTTTTCGCTAAATATTCCGTATCGCTGGTACCACGATACGGAATATTTACCTTGTTTTCTGCTCAGCATTAAAGAATTCTGATGATGAAGACCAACAATCAGACGAAGATGATCTGGAACCTGATGTATACTATGACCATATTGAAATCAATGAGGAAGATGAAGCAGCAATTCAAATGTTCATGTCATCAAATCCGGAAAGAACAAGAACCTTGGCAGATATAATTAAAGACAAAATAACAGATAAACATACAGAACTTCAAACACAGTTTTCTGATGTAGAAACACTAAAGTTACAAAATATCGATCCAAGGTTAGAAGGGTTTTATATGATAGATTTAAGTCTTAATAATTATTTTGAAATATGGTTTTTGTGGAAAGGTAGTATGTCAGTAATTAATTTAACATGGTAACAATCTTTCAAATAATGATATATAATTTAATTTTTTAAGGATAAAAACTATGTATGAAGGTGTAAGAGATGTGCTGAAAAAGTACAGATCAGGAAAATTGCCTAAAGCCTTCAAAATGGTCCCACATTTACAAAACTGGGAACAAATCTTATATCTCACTGAACCAACAACATGGTCGGCAGCTGCTATGTATCAGGTACACTTAATTTCTTAATAAATAACATAGGTTTGACGTTTTTGAGTGTGATTATTAAAAATATTGTTCATAATTAGCAAATAACATTTAGTCCATATCTTTAGCATATAAACTCTAAAATTGTAAGATATATTGTTATATGGAAAAACCAATGTTATGTGCATCATATGAATAAGGCAAGCAAACCAACTCAAGTCCAGTAATTTCAATATTTTAGGGAGTTTGATGTTATATAATAATTCTTTCAAACACAACAACATAATTCTTTCAAACACAACAACAAAAGACAAAACGCACTAACCACCCCAAGCCGGCTGGTCACCGTGGGGGCTGTCGACCACTCCCTTCCAGCTCAGAAACGAGATGAGAAGATTCACAAAAACATTACAAGTCCCATCACTCCAAGCCGAATCGAAAATAAGATACTTTATATCGCCACTCTGAACTGTCTATCATTGAGAACACACGAAAAACTTACCGAGCTAGAGTTAGCTCTTTTAAAGATAAACTGGGACATATTAGGATTAAGCGAAATAAGAAGAATAGGCGAAAGCATTGAAGATCATAAAGAGTATATCTTCTATTATAAAGGCGAAATAAAAGGATCCCATGGAGTAGGCTTTATGGTTAAAAAATACTTACAGCCAAATATAGAAGAATTTAAGGGCATATCAGATAGAATAGCCATTCTTAATATACATTTTCCAGGTTTCAAGGACAAATGGTCAATTATACAAATTTATGCACCTACTGAAAATCATGAAGAACATACCAAAGATAAGTTTTACAACCAATTGACTACAGTTTTACAAAATACTTTCAAAAACATCATAGTTATGGGCGATTTCAATGGAAGAATAGGACGCAGACGTCCTGGTGAAGAGAACATCATAGGCGACTTCGGCTTCGGCCCAAGGAGCAAAAATGGAGAACGAATGCTCAATCTCGCTCTCGAAAATAATTTAGCATTCATGAACAGTTTCTTCAAAAAAGTTACGGCGAAGAAGTGGACATGGATATCACCGGACGGACGCCACAAAAATGAAATCGACTACATCGGAACCAACAATAGGAAACCCTTCCAGAACGTTAGTGTATTAAATCAACTCAACTTCAACACCAATCATCGATTAGTAAGAGCCACCATAAAATGTATCGAACCAAAGAAAAGTAGAAATAAATACAACACAAAAACAAAGCTAATGATAGTAAAACAAATCCCTGACAATGAAGTCAAAAACCAGATAGAAGGAAAATATATCAATGAAGTAAATGAAATACTTGGAACTCTAAGTCGTAATCCCCAAAAACTAACAAGAAACAAATTGGAAAAGAAACTCAAAAGCTAATGGAAGAAAGAAAACAGCTCTTAAAACTTGGAAAAAACAAGCAAAATCTAAAATTGATATCAGAAGTAAGTAAGAAAATTAGTAACAATATTAAGAAAGAAAGAACCAAAAGAAGAATAGAAGCACTTAATTACCACATAACCAAGACAGGAGGAGTTAAAAAAGCTCTAAAAGAACTCGTAGAAACAAAACAATGGATACCGAACATTAAGAACTACGTAGGCAAACAACAGACAAAAAGAAAAGATATATTGAAAACTGCAACAGACTTCTATAGAAACCTCTACTCACTAGAGACTGATAATACCTCACAGAATTCAGTAAATCTTGAACAAGACGAAGAAGAGGTACCTAAATTTCTCCTTTCAGAAACGGAGCATGCTATCAAAAGCCTAAAAAATGGAAAAGCGCCTGGACCAGATCACATAACTAATGAGATGATCAAAGTATCATCAGCAGCACCAGGGAACCTAAGAAAACTTACTGAACTATTCAACACCATACTAAAAACGGAATACATACCTTCTCAATGGACGAAGAACATAATTACACTGCTCCACAAAAAGGGTGACAGGAACACAATAGAAAACTATAGACCTATAAGCCTTATGTCCAACATGTATAAAGTTTTCTCCAAAATGATCCTGCGAAGAATAACGAAGGTAATGGATGAACAACAACCCATGGAACAAGCTGGATTCAGATCCGGATTCTCAACTGTAGATCATATACATGTTATAAAACAGCTAATACAAAAGTGCAAAGAATACGGAAAAGCACTATACATCGCTTTTGTAGACTACAGTAAAGCATTCGACTCTATAAAGCACGATTCCCTCTGGAGAGCCTTAATACAACAAGGTATACCAAAAAAATACATACGTATAATTAGAAATATATATACAAGTAGCACGGCTTATATCAAACTAGAGACAACGGGTGAAGAATTTCCTATAGCCAGGGGTGTGAGACAGGGCGATCCTTTGTCCCCAAAACTCTTCTCAGCCATTTTGGAGAGTTTATTTAGAAATTTGGAATGGGATAAGGTCGGCATAAACATAAACGGCAGACAACTGAACCACCTAAGATTCGCAGACGATTTAGTGATCATTTCAGATAACGCAAAGACGCTTCAAACTATGCTGCAACAGCTGACAGAAGCAAGCAAGATAGTTGGGCTTTCTATGAACAAATCTAAAACAAAAATAATGACAAATAGAGAAACTATTATGATACAAATAGGAGGAGATGCTATCGAATATGTAGACCACTACGTATATTTAGGGCAAATAATATCATTTCATGACCAAATGGATCTTGAGATAGAAAGAAGAGTGTCTAGCGCCTGGAAGAGATTTTGGTCACTCAAGGAAGTACTTAAAAGTAAAGACTTCCCAATAGTAGCTAAGAAAAAGGTGTTCAATCTATGTATCCTACCATGTGTTACATACGGCTGCGAGACTTGGGCTTTATCTCAGAAACATCTTCTAAAGTTGAGAACATGCCAAAGAGGAATGGAAAGAAGCATGGTGGGTGTAACACTGAGACATCGAAAAAGAGCAGAAGAGATCAGATCAACGACCAAAGTAGAAGACATTATAAAGAAAATAAGGCAGTTGAAATGGCGCTGGACTGGGCACATGACGAGAGATAGCAGGTTGAAATGGACAAAAATAATTACAGAATGGCAACCACGTGATGGAAAAAGGAAAAGAGGAAGACCGACCAAGAGATGGGCAGACGATATTAAGATAATAGGAGGCACAACTTGGACAAGAAGAGCTAATAACAGAAAAGAATGGAAACAGCTGGAAGAGGCCTACGTGTCACAGGACACGCTGATTACCAAAAACGGGTCATATGATGCATTAGATTAAGTTTTATTTTATTTATGTGTTAGAATTAAGTGTTTTTTTATGTAACTTAAATAATTGTATGGGTGTCAGCAATAAAGGCTAATCAATCAATCAATCTGATGTTATATTAATGTTACACAATGTTTACATTGATTTTTACTTATTATTTATTTATTTTTGTTACATGCTTTGCCTTTAGTAATTCTTTTTTTTCCCATTAATTGGGTTGCCTGGAAGAGATTTCTTATTAGTGTTAAGGCTAACTATTCCAAAACATTTTAGTTACCGGATTTTATTTGTTCTCTTGTAGCATCAAATTTAAAATTATAATTGATTTTTTAGGCAACAAGGATATTTGCATCAAACCTTAAAGAAAAAATGGCACAAAGGTTTTATAATCTAGTCTTGCTACCGAGAGTGAGAGATGACCTAGCTGAATATAAAAGATTAAATTTCCATTTATATCAGGCTTTGAGAAAAGCACTTTTCAAACCTGGTGCTTTTATGAAGGGAATTCTATTGCCATTATTGGAAGTAAGGAATCAATTATTAAATATTATTTTTATGAAGATGCTGACTTCATAAGAAATATTCTATCTATTTGCATTATTTAAACTAAACTACTGATCTATTGTAATCTGATATTTCATCACACTGTCTACACAATCCAACTGATAGAGGGAAGAAATTACTTTGGGTACAATAAAACTTAATGAAAATCAAATGGGAATGTCAATATATGTACTATTTATCACAATCTATAAAAAAGCTATCATAATATGTCAGTAAATATAGTACAACAAATAAAAGAAAATAATATTTTCTTAAATTTCAGTCTGGTGACTGCTCATTACGAGAAGCAATCATTGTTGGATCAGTATTGGCTCGGAATTCAGTACCTGTACTCCATTCAAGTGCTGCAATGTTAAAAATAGCTGAGATGGATTATAATGGAGCAAGTTCTATATTCCTTAGAATACTTTTTGATAAGAAATATGCATTGCCATACAGGGTTGTTGATTCTGTCGTATTTCACTTTATAAGGTAATATAAGGCTAGGAGCCTTAATTTATTAGTAGTACATTCTAGAACACAATATTTCTAGAAATTAAACCTTTCTTCAACTCCCATATATAACTTTTCTTATCTATTCAGTGGGGGGAGTTTAAATATTTTTGTAATATACAAATAGGTGTGATTACTATTTTAACTCTAATATAAGAAATATGATCAAAATTTTGACCTTGTAATTTTTAGCTTCCAGTATAATCAGAAAGCACTTTATAGATGTCTTGTAAAATTGATTGAATTTCTATATTAATATTTTGATTGTATTTTAGATTTAATAATGACTCAAGAACATTACCAGTGCTGTGGCATCAGGCATTATTGACATTTGTTCAAAGATACAAAGCTGATATTTCTACTGAGCAGCGAGACGCCTTATTGGAATTGTTGAGGAAACAATACCATCCTACTATTACCCATGAAGTAAGTTTTGGCTATTTTTTTTTATAATACTAATACTTTTTAGTATCTATTTGTTATAAACAATTTGAAACATTGTGTATAACTAATTCTAAACCTATAACTTCAGGATGGTTAACATTTTTTTTTCTACATTAGTTTAATTGTTATTTTGCCTTAAGCTAAAAGGTTTACACCCTTAGGCTGAATTTAGTGTCCCGCCGACCGCACGCGCACTGTCGGCGCTGAGGGTCGAGATATATGAACTTCTAGAAAGCGTTTTTGAATGACGCGTAGCTATAAGCGCGCACGGTGGTCAGCGCTGACAATCGCTAGAGCGCCTCTGCATTTTGGTCTTCGTCTGTACAGTAAGGCAGTCAGTACGATACTAAAACGAACCAGCGTCTACTAAAAGTCAGCGCTGACGAACTACGCGCTGATCTATGAGCGCTGACGGTGAGCGTGAGACTAAATTCAGCCTTATATTCCTAAACACTACATCTTGTCTCTTACTGACAAAGTGTATTTTCACTGTGTCAATAAGAGCCAAGTACTTGTGAGTACTTTAGTTAAAACTGTACAATTACACCGATTTCTATTTGTGAATGTGGTGGATAGACTATTCTAATAATATATATAAATTCTTTACCATTTGAATGCTACTTTTGTTATGTATATGAGTAATAGTAAGTAGGTTACATTTATTTCCAACCAAGCAAAAAGCTCAAGAGGCTGCAGGTGTAACATAAAACACTAATTTGTTTCATCTTCATATAAAAAACTAAATTTTTTTACAGATAAGAAGGGAATTACAAGCAGCCAAGTGCAGGGACCTTGAAGTTAATGAAGCTGTACCAAGCTGTATGGTTGTAGAATAAATTATAGTTTGTAATTTGTACTTGTTATTTCAAACAACCACTCAATTGTCATGTCCATTTTAATTCATATTTAATACAGTGACAAGCTGAAACAGCTAGAGAAAAAGTTGCTATAGTAAAAATATAAATTACAGTTACAGATCTCCAAAGATATAGTAGATAGATACGCCAGCAATATTATGTTTGTCTAAAGGAGGCTTGATACATTCAGTCTATACTAGTGGAAAATAGGTATTGCATAACAAAAATTGCAGCTTGGATGTGAACACTGATAAAAAACAATTTATAATGGCATAATTGTATTTTTTTAGATGACAAAATAAATAAAATTTGAAATTAAACATATTATTATCTAGAACATACATTTATTGCATTTTTAATGGGTATATCAACTTGGCTTGTGATAAAATGAACTGGAGGCAAAACAGAACTTCCGCACTCACACTTTCTTCCAGCCACAAAATCAAAGGAACCAACTTTACAAGCACAATTTGAGCAATTTAATTTTCCTTTTGTCCATTGTTCCTCTTCAACTTTAATCTTAATCCAATCTGGAAGTCTGTCTTCACTAAGAAATATAAAACTTCTAAGATCATAGCTATCACAATTTTTACTGCATGATTTTGATGTTTCTAAGTTAGGAACTAACACATATCTGCATTTAAAACACTTTACTGGTCGTTGTAAACCTTTTGATTCCATGATATTGGATTTTTTAAATTACCAAAACCTACCTAACCTAAAAATTACTGAATTCGATAGGCGATAGCATCAAAGTACTTAGATTATCATTCTAGGTTGCCACTAAATATGAACGCAAATAGCGTTTCTTAGTTATTTCAGAAGTATTAAATAAAATAAGAGGTATTTTATTTGAAATATAAAAATTATATTGTTGTTATTGTATGTTAGGTCACAACTTTTTTTTTTTGGAGTTTATGGCCTGGTATCTAGACCTTTAGGCCAAACCCCCTGGGGCCTTAGTCAAGATGGCTTAACAGTAGTGTATGTAGAAAGTCATAAACTAAATTTGTATGGAAATGACAGTTCGTGTCGAAAACAGGTTACAGTTGTCAAATGTCCAGAAGTATGAAATGCACAGATAAAATTCGAATCAAAACAGAATAGGATATTTTAAAATCTAAAACTATGGTATATTAATGAACATTCTAACCCTTTTCATATGAATCAAGACACCGTTTAACAACGCTAAAGCTTTAAAAATACGCTATTTTTCATTCATAAAAGCTGAAAGAGAAAAGCGCGGGTAATTTCGTTCATCATAGACGTTTTTTTCACGGTGGTGAAAATTTAATTTAATTTTACTAGTAAAAACGCGGGAAATTCAAACAACACCAAAGCTACAGAAACCAATACGGACTCCCGTTCGATTGACCGTACTGAATATGTTCCTACTGATGTTTCACCTTATTTAATACATGTTCAACGTATACAAAGTTCACCTGACGACGGGACCATTCTCCATTCTGTAACATTTGGCAATTTTTTAAAGCAGAACAAATTTAATAATATTATTCCCGGAAGAGTAAAGCGTATAGGAAGAAACAGGCTTTTCCGATTATAAAGACGCCAATAATTTTCTTAGCTGCAATCATTTAGAAACAAAAAAGTTAAAAGCCTTCATTTCCACCTCCTATCTGAATTCCTTACAATTACTTCATGTTCCGTTTCCGACAAAAATCTCCGGCCTTTTGCTTTATTCTTTTATAATGTATTATCTTCTTCCATTATCAACAATAATAATAATATGTAATATGTTTGTGTACATATTTTGTTATTAACCAGGTTATCCCTTTATTTCCTTTTGATGTCTTTGTTTTGTTTTCTCGCGTGTAGTTTCCCAACCTTTTACTTGAAACTGGCATATAACTATTGCCATAATATAAAAAAAAACTGAAACCGTTATACCCAATGACGACAATTTTTTTAGCTGTATCCGAAGATCATTAATTTTAACCTGGGCCGATAGCGATATCGACAATAAGGTTTTATACGGCGCGATCCCAAGGATGCGACCTCAGCGCTACGGATATTGAGAGAACTACATCGACATAATATTATATAAAAACGTAGGGTCGATATCGCTGTCTCTATTGGAAGTGATAAAGTACGGGCGCCGTTCCCGCCAAATTTATATTTAGTTTTTGTGGACGATCCTAAACTTATATTACAGTTTATTAGTGTTTTGTGTTTTCTTTGGTGTCTTTTTTGTAAATACAATAATACTACATAATCCTACTGTATATAGTTTATTTTAGTAAGTCGTAGTACTTTTATAGGGATTTTTTAATATTATCCTTTTATTTATATAAAGCTATTTTTGAATTTTTAACTAAGGCGTCGTTTTTATAGGTGGTAGAATTATTTAAATTACTTCAGTAATTTTAGTAACGGTAAGATTCAGAAACGAGGCATATTAAGAGAGACAGAGAGACAGACCACGAACTACGACTCCTCCTACATTTCAAATTTCTTATAAAGTTTCGAAAAACTTACAGATGTTTTTATATAACATGGAGTCTGATCTGATGTTAACTGATACCGCCAATAGACAGTCACATTGCCCGAGGGCATTTAGTGCGTCGCCGCCCATTTAGGAATTGGTGGTTTTTTCTTGTATATATTTGAAGTCTTGGAACACTCCCAATGAGGTAAGATATTTTTGACATGACAACGTCTAATAAATCGAAGAACGCCGGCTGCACGCTCGACAAAGCATGACTCATTGTCCCGTATGCTCATTGTCCCGTTACGCTCATTGAACGCATGCGCCGCATCTATATCTTCCACTCGAAGACTTAAGTATGCAATCATTTCATCAATGTATTGTTATGACGTTGTCACGTTAAACTATCGTCCGAAAACCGATTTTACAGACAACCATTTTTTTGTGATAATATTTGAACCCGCATGTTCCTCTAACTCAACTAATTTGTATGATTTTTATGCCTCATTAATTGTTAGTTATAGTTATTAAGCTCATATGTTGTGAGTTGTTTGTATGTTCACACTCGACGTGGTAAGCGGTCGCAATTGCTGGCAGTGCCTCGTGCGCGTACGAGCTTAAAGAAGCACCATTTACGCGTGTTTTGCGCACCCTAAACACTATTGCCTGTGAGACGGATATATTTAGTTGCACACTGGCTGAATTCACAAGAATTGCATTATTTATAATTAGTTATAAAAAGGTTTTAAGTTTTTACTTGTTATGTTTATATTATGTTTTTAGTTTAGTTTTCTATTGTATTAGTATTAAGTTACTGTAAAAATAGGAAATAAGGAAGATAAATAAATAAATGTTTCTAAATGTATATGTTATTCTTATTCCTGTTGGTAGACGTATGAATACAATTTGGATTTGCTGGATACATGCGCGTCAACAAAGCGTAATTCGAACTAAATCTGACAGTAAAATATATAGCTAAACATGAAGCCAATCAGCTTCACTTGCTCCTAAAATATTATCAATACGGGGAAATAATACAAACTACATTTTCGTATGATAGCCAGCTGTTCGGTTTTCACTAGCTTTACTAAGACTTAATAATAAAGACTTTTTTTATTAACTTTTTTTAACTATGATATCTCCAAAAATATTGATTGAAATCAAATGGCGTTATCTTTGCGCTAAATTAATGCGCGATTCAAAGGCCAACATAACTTATTATGGATCTATTGGTCTACTATCTACATAAAGTTTTGCGGGCGATGAACAACCCAAGTGTTCTCCAAGAACACGCTATCTTGGTCTTTGGGATATTATGTGCGACGGCGAAGGCCAAGGTATGCGATACCAAGGGCCAGAATCTGTTGCACAGATCCCCGTTAAGACGTTGCTACAGATCGCAGTCTCCACTATCGACATTTTATATGTTTGCAGAATGAGTTCATAGTAGCGATATAGTGTATCTTATGAATTTAATATTATATATTTTTCAACATTATTGTATTGACTTAGTAATGTTAGTATTTTCGTGAATGTATAATTTGCTACTAAAATACGCAAATTATAGGAATATATACTTTAATAGATAAATGCGAACTTTTTTGAATTTCTAGAGCAGAAAATTGCAATTTTTGCGTAACATTCTTTAATGCTTCGGTAGTATTGGTAGCGTGGTTTTATTATTATTACCACTCCAAGACATTTTTTATTATTAAGACAAATGTAAGGACGGGAAATAAAAGAGTTCAATCGCATGTGCGTGATATTTTTATTTTCACTGAATTTACTTAGGTATTCAACAAGAATTTTGCGCTGCTCAAAATTTTACTATCTCTATACGGCTAATGTGCTCTGTATAATTATTAATAAAAATGACATATGTCAATAACAGTTCGTTCACATCTTAACAATAACGAACAATTTGTTAATATTGTATAAAAATTACTTTTAAAGCCGCCTTGTTAAGCTGCAGAGAAAAAAATACAATCGTTGTTAATCAAAAGTTACGAACTAGAGGAAACTTACATATACTATGGTTGTGATTCATAGACAACCTCCCATCTGTCAAAACTCTATGACCGCTTTACGGATGGGAGCCATTTCGACCGCTTGTCTTTGAATCTCAAGTTCTAAACGAAGCAAGCGTCGATTTAAAAATCGTTATTTCAAAAACATTTAGCCATGCAGTCGTTAGAGTAACGTCAGACAATTCAATATTAATTTTAACAGTTACATATTTTAAAGCTATAAAACCTTAATGTTAACAGAAATTAATAAACAAAATAAGTATCCAACTTAATTTCTAAAACAGTATAATGATTACTATAAATCCATTGTACACACATCATTTTCCCTTTCTTGATATATATTCGCACACAACGTTGGCAAACCTAGATGTCAAACAATCAAAAAATAAATTAGTGGCCCTATGTTTTAAGGTCGGCCTCAGATTTCTGTATCTGTTAATTGAAAAAATAAAATTAGAAATACGCGCCGTCGACTTTTTTGGTCTAAGGCAAGCCGGATTCCTCAC